GATTTGTTGGTTTTAGCTGTTCACATGCATCGATTTGTGAAGGAAGAAAAATTTTTGCCGAAAAATTAAAGAATATTCCACGTACCACGAGATTAAAGGAAAACACTGAGATATGAAGCCCATTAGAGAGAGAGTGCTTGTCAGGACTTCAAATTAAATACAACATTTGGAGGGGTAAGAAAGACAAGTGCTCAATCTTCTTGGCGAATTCTATCAACTTTTATCAATTTAACTCTTATTATTAATATTATTGATAAATGAAATTTTATTATGTTGTCTCCAAGTTAGTGAGTAGAACTTTTTTCTTCCTTGATTTGGCAATGTAAGAATTATAAATTTGATTTTTTTTATGAAATAAATTGTACTTTTCAAAAGATAGTGTTTTAATATTTAAATCTTCATTTGCATTCAATTTAGCTAGTTGAGTTCTTAAAAATAGTTGGATCTTTGACTATTAGAAGAATCACTAGTATGACAACTAGGTAAAACTTATTAACTTTGGAGAATATAAATATTACTTCTAGGCTAGTTCAATTCTAAAGGGAAGTAAGGAGTTAATGGGTTGATCACTTTATTTCGGTAACTACATGTATGATTATAAAATTTTCTTAGATGCCCATAAATGAATAAGATGGAGAATTGCTTGTGATTGTCATCCATAATTTAAATCACCAAGTCAAACTTATATCCTTACAGAACCAGTTTAGGGGAGAATTTTTCAAGTGTCGGAAAACCTCATTGCATTCTCAGCTCGATAAATTAAGTTTAACTATTCTAAAATTAGGATGAATTAGAAAACCTCACTGCAAAACTTTGAAACTTCAGGCTCTTCAAACCACACAATTCATATGTATGACATTTAACATCCAAAAATCAATTTTTACATTAAACCACACAATTCACATGTATCACATTTCTACACTCTAAACTTCAATTTTTACATACATTCCACGCAATTCATATGCATCACATTATTAACACCCAAACTTTAAATTTAATTTATATACGAACCACACAATTCTTATGTATTACATACTCAAGATGTAAACTTGATAAAAATTTTCGTTCATTCACTCATTTCTTATGTGTTAAATATCCAACACCTAAACTTAAATATTTGCATAAAAAATACAAACTTCTTATGTATCACAAATATAACCCCTAAACTTTAAATTTACAAACTAACAACACAATTCTTATGCAAACAGTAGCATTTAGGTGTTATATGTAAATACTTTTGAATTGGGTGGTATGCATGAAATGCCCCTTTCCCTAAGCCCTAAATCCTACATGTAGACAAACATGCCCTAAGGAATAGCTAAACCTTTAATACATAAACCTAAAGTAAAATGCATTCATTCAGCTAAGAAAAAATAAGAGCTGCAAAAAAATTTGAGACAATTCGGCAGGTGGCCAGACAATCACTAGAGAGGATTGGATGGTGGTCGGACGCTTGGTAGATGGTCTTCATTGGAGAGGAGAAGCGCGGGATCGTTGATTCCACAAAGGTAACTAGTGTTCGTCGAACATGCACAAATGAGGCTTGCAGGCGCAAATTTGTATTTTAATGGCTAGATGTCGGATTTGTGTGGGCAAAGTATGTCGCTATTAAGTAGGGCTTATAACGGTGGAGAAGATCGACACAAACTCAAACGCTGGAAAGAAGTCGATGTTAAGTGACAGGCATAATGGCGAAAGAATTTGATGTTAAGCCCGATGCTAACTGTTTGTGTCAGAATACACTGACCCTAAACATGTCCTTAATAATAGTTGAAGCAAGTTAGACGTAAAATATTTGCATCATATTATGTTTGACTCAATAGTTGACGTTATTTACTCGTTTTCCTGTATGTTAATGCTACATAAGATAAAAACTTACAAATCATAAGTCAATTGACTTATCTTTAGTAATCATTCTCATAATTAACAAATTTAAGGGATGCACTCAGACATAGAGAAGTTCTTGGCTAAATGGAAATGATAATATATTATGAAGGATAACCTTAAGAAGAGAGTTTGCAAAGTGTAGAATAGTGAAGATGAGATCATCCATAAGATATGACATGCAAAATATTTAAAATATTTTCATTTTTTAAATGCGACTAATCATTATCTTGTTAGATATAGGGGAGTCTCTAACTCATGGGGATGCATCTTCATCTCAAATAATTAGATAGTCACAGATTGATAAATTAATAAGGAGAAAGCCTTACCTAAGTCACCTCAATATAAGTTGCCTATCTTAACTATATGGCACAGCCTATAAAACTTCATCATATCACAATAACAAAATGGGAAATACAGTTTAATCTATATTACAATATTGTCTTGGTTCTCTCTCTTAGTTGATAATAAACCTAATTATCATTTAAAAGTTTTAATTATTCCAACTACCTTAAATAGTTTGTTGCCATGTTAAGACCTCGTTCCTCTCTTGCTCTTATCATTTTGCTCCTACCATTTGAAATGGTTCTGCCTCTACCAAGTTAAAGAAGGAAGTTGCCAAAATTTAAAGTTCAATACATTCTTACAAAATTTTGGAAGGCATAAATGAATTTATATTCACAAATTCTCACTGCCCTCATGTTAACATCTAACATGACTGAACATGCTTGAGGTCCAATCTACGCTAAACAACTGTCGCTAAAAAAATAAGCATAGTCAACCTATGTCAGTCTTGAATCTAGACTTCTTTTTTGTTGGCATTGCCCTTACATGTCCTAAATAGATTATTGTCTTCTACCTAGGTCTTGATCTAATTATTTCCCCTTATTAACATCACATGGGCACTCAACACATGAGAAGAAAACTGACAAATGAACACCATAGTGAGTAAGAACATCAAAAAGTGAGTTGTTCGCAAGGCATTGAAGGCATACAAATTACTAGATATATTGATATTATACATAGTTTGGAATATAAGCTTCGACATAAAAGCTATTTTATAAGCACATGTACTGTCACAAAGAAATTACAAAAAAAAAAAATGATGACATTTATAAACTTTGAATTCAAAATCATTGAATACAGTTTATATCAAGTCCTAGTGTTTAAAAAAAAACTTGATTATTTCTCATGACTTAATTACATTCTCAAGTTTAAATACCTTTTATATGTGATAATCCCTCATATATCCAATTGAGGATTTTAATAGCAATTAACAAATTAAGGATTATAATAGTAATTAAAAATATAATGTCTCCTGAAAAAATACATAGGATTATATGTGTGTTATCTAATATACATGAGAGTAATAAATTATATTAATATGTCAATGCACGCATACATACTTTATATAAAACATATATATTATGCAATTTAATACCAGTATTTATAAGTTAATTTATATATTTAATTTATCAATTTAATTTTTATATATTTATAAGTTTTTTTTGTTGTATTTTTATTATAAATTTTATTATTAAATTTGTAAGTTTCTAAAAAGTCACAATTTAAACATAATAGTCTACTATTTTTCGATGTTTTGTTTGACTATTAGTTTAAAAATTATGTTTATGAATGACACTTGCTAGAAGATGTGTTACAATAGTGTAATAAATTATCATCTTAGTATTGCATGAGAATCCAACACACACTAAGAAAATAAAAGTTACAGGTAGAGAGACCAAAAGTTTTTACGTGGAAAACATGAAAAAGAAAAAAATATTTAGAGTCTTGCTTGTTGAAATGATCCACTATGAGTTGATGATTACACGTATAGACTCTTATCTCACATGTAGAAAATGGTTACACAGATCGCCGTGGTATAACATTTGTTGCACAATGGTCAAGAGAGACTATAGTTAGGAACAATTGTTGGAACTTCAACATACTGCATTCGAGGTATATCGTTGTTTCACAATGTACGCTAAGATCCCATAGCACACATCTTGATTCCTTAATGGATTTCATTGTAACGAGCATCCTAGCTGATGATAGTCAACGGTGGTGATGCAGGAGCGAGCACCGTTCGATTAGTCTTTAGTTCGACCAAGCACTGAAATACATCTCCTTCTCAATTTTGCTCAAAGTCCAGCTCTTCCTCTAGTTCAAGGTCAAGTCCCTAGGACCCTTTTCATGAGGGGGTAGAGCTCTATTTATAGAATCAGAGAGAGACCTTTCGATAAATAAGGAATAAATTCAGACCACTTTATTTTGATAGCCCAAGGATGTTTCCTTGATCAAATGATACATGTGGCTGTTTGAATGCTTTCATGATGTCAGAATTGAATGATCTTGGGCTCTCGTTGGATTCATTTTGTCGTGTTGCACTTATTTGATTACATGTTTATCAAAATTGAAATCCATCTGGCCTTCTAATTATGCACTAAAAGCTTTAAAAAATGATTTATCAGCTTTATTTGATCTCAATTTGACTCAGATTGGTCCAATTTAATTTGGTGTGGTTATGTTCATCTCATCGAACCAGTCGGTTTGATTGTAAGTTTGCTGAAATCGGGGCAATGGAACTTATTTTAATTCGAGTTCGAACATTCCTTGCTCAGAAAGTTGCCATGAGTTTTGCATCTCTCCTCAAAATCCATGCTGGATGACGAAAATTTATTGACGAAGTATTAATAAATATGCAATATTTGACTATTACACTCCAAAATAAGCATTGCGATAAATATTAAGGTTACCTTTATATTCTTTAAGAATTTTCTTTTTATATTTTTATATAGCAAGAGCTATGATAAGCATTGACACTTATTCTTAATTACATTAAATTATTAATAAAAAAAACAAAACTTGTCTTGTATTAACAAAAAAAAAGTATACTTTCATCTCAATAATAAAAATTAAAAGAATAAATGAAGAAGATAATAAAAAAAATAATACAAGAATAATGGTAATCACAGATCTCTACAATGCATCATTCATGATTCCATTTCACTATTGGCATTGGAATTTGTTAGCTCTCATCCCTTTCACAAAATGCCCTTTACCCAAATACTTCAAACTAATAGAGTCTCCTCTTTACATCACTTTCTTTTCTCTCTCATCCCCTTCATCAATCCTTCTCTCTCTTGAGCAATAACACCATCTTCACAATAAATGCAATTGCACCCTCTCAATACGCTCTGCAATAACTGCACTCCTCCCACATCCTCTTCACCCGTTCCCCCCTTCCTTGTTCCTCACCCTTTCCTCTTCCCTTTCCCTGCAACCCTTTTCAGCTTCCATGGCATCCTCTTTTTCTCTGTATCGACTTCATCTTCTCTCACCTCTGCATGCACTCACGTAGATCTTAGCTCTTCTATCCATTCCTCCTTTTTTTTCTCAGCTTTCTGGTGATATATTGCTCTTTTAACTTTCTTCTCTCTAACTGAGCTCTGAAGAAATGGAGAAACCAAAGAGAGGTTGCAGTGAACGGAATCCCATGAGTGGGAGAATAAATTAGGGTTTGTTGGAGCAAAATATGCTTGCCGGCGTCATGATTCCGGCAAGACAGGTACCTTCGATGATCGGCAGGAACTCTTCAGCGTTGACCTTAGCTCAGGTCAGTAGAGTCAAGCAAAGTCAATTCATATATTTATTTCCTTATTTTAAATAATTTGTTGGCTGATCATGATTCCTATGCTTGTATAGAAAGTATTGGTTGCAAAGTGTTAGGGTTTCTGCAGTAGGAATGGTTGGCGAATGCTTTTTAACCTTGTAGTTGACTTTGCTGGGTGCTTTTGCTTTATATATATTCACAATATAGGGAGAGAGAGAAGAGAGAGAGAAGAGTTGTTCTCATTGATCTTTGTATGTGCAGATCTAACCCATTACTTCTCTTCTTTCTCATTGCAGTGAAATTTATTAGGTTTGAAAGATCATACTTATAGATCTAAGCCAGATCTTTTTCCCCCATTATCAAACATCATTATAAAACTATATATTTATATTTAATACTATGGACCATGCAACTTTAATAAATGTGCTAGGGCAATGTTAACTTATGCTTTTGAAGAATTAAACACGATATTACTCCCAGTGAATTTACTTTCTCTAATTCATAAGCAGATCTTGCACTTCTTCCTTGTACGCTGCAGATCAATATCTTGGAAGGCCAACAACTCCCTCTTCAGCACCAACTCGCCGAACTGACGGCACAAGCGACGACGACGGCGGAGAGTGAAATGATGAGGGCTCGAGAAGACGACTTCGAGAGCAAGTCCGGCAGCGATAACATCGAGGGCGGTTCCGGCGATGAACACGATCCCAATCAGCGACCGAGGAAGAAGAGATACCACAGGCACACTCAGCACCAAATTCAGGAAATGGAAGCGTGAGATCTCTGTGCACAACTTTGCTAGGTTTCTATGCAAGCGGTGGAGTTAATGAAATAACTTATTGTTGTGATTTCCTTAGTTTTTTTAAGGAATGCCCGCATCCGGACGACAAGCAGAGAAAGGCGCTCAGTAAGGAGCTGGGATTGGAGCCACTACAAGTGAAGTTTTGGTTTCAGAACAAGCGCACGCAAATGAAGGTATATTAAACCCTAGAACATGAGAAAGTTGTGATAGGGCATAGCTCATGATTCTCTACCGTGCAAAATAATTAAATTAGGGTTTTAAGTGGGAGTCACCTCTAATTTAACTATTAGTTCTTATAATTCAAATTATTTTGAATTATTTTGTTTTATAGTGCAGGCCGTTTGGCGTTTTAGTCATAGAGTGATGTGTTACTTTCAAGGACTCGTCTAATTAGGGCTTTGAATTTAGAGAAGTATTATGTTCGGACGCTATATGTGTGGATGACAATATGGCTAAATCTATGTCGTCATCATCAATACGTTGAGATGACAAACGTAATATCTTTCTCTTTGAATTTCAATTAATGATTCATTAAAAAATGGATCAGTTTTTGTATCGTTTAACCATAAAATTATTGAAAATTAAAGTTGATTTTTGGCCATATAAATTTGAGCTTTAATTGAGCTCATAATCTAGATTGATCTTTGAAAAATTCTAAAAAAAATTTGTAAGGAAAATTTTTAGAATATTCTAAAAACATGTTTTAAATGAGCAATTTATAAAATTCCATAATGTCATTAATGACTTATGTAAAAGATTATATATTCTTTAGACTCAATAGTAGTCATAGAATTGAAATGCATTGGCACAATTATAACCGGAGTGTCATTACTATAAATTGGTGTGATGTATTTGAGTTTTGTATAAATAAGAAAAATAATGAAGTAAAAGTGAATCTTTTAAGTCACCTTTCTCTTCTTTCTCTTTCTTAGACTTTTATTTCAAACCAAAACTAGCAAATTTCAAATCAGATTTGATCCATGAATCAATTAGATATAGTAAGAGATCCAAAGGAATATAATTTTACGAATGTACATATCTATATCCATATGTATCTATATATTATCAATGCATGTTTATAATTTTGTTTCATGATAAGGATATGGTTTGAGATGAGGATATGCACAGCTGCTTCAGCCATAAACATCACCAAAAAAAAAAAATTTAAATAGTAGGAAAAATTGAGTTTTTTTTAAAAAAAGCTTATATGAGTCTAATAAATAACTAAAATTTCATTCGAACCAAATGAATCGAATCAGCTTGTAGACAAGCCGTTCTAAAGCAGGAATTGAGCCGGATCTTCACAGGTTCTTCCCTTACTTTGCCTTTATTTGTTCCCATTCACATATTTACTAGCTATTAATCACAAAGAAAGTCTAATTCATCAGTAACTTCAAAACTTACATTTTTAAGTATCTAGAGTTCAAAGTTTTAATCTTTCGTCTTCTCCTTCTGCAAACAGACACAGCATGACAGACAAGAGAATTCACAGCTTAGGGCAGAGAACGATAAGCTGCGGAATGAAAACCTGCGGTATAAGGAAGCACTGAGCAATGCCTCATGCCCTAACTGCGGCGGCCCAGCTACACTTGGGGAGATGTCTTTTGACGAGCACCACCTCAGGATTGAGAACGCCAGGCTGAGAGAAGAGGTAATTAACTATTTTAATTGGCTCTTAGAGTAGCGTTATTGGGCATGGTTAATTAACTTGTAATGCATATTGTATTAGCTTTTAGATAATCTTAATTCCTAAATAGAGTTTACTTTAATTATTGGTCTTTTTATAAATCTGATGACATTTTGGTATAGAAAAAGTTATATGGCGTTTAATTTAGTTTTAAAGTAGGGTTTATATAATCAGCTATATTTATATGATTTGCAATCTTTTATATGCAAAACTAATGTTAAAATATTTATATTTAAAATATCATCATCCAATCATACTGTCAAAACACACACTCAAGCCTTGGTCTGTTGGTGGCGGGGTCACTGTAAGTCTACTAAAGTCAAGGATTTGATCCCGCCGTGACGCGAGAGCTTTGAAATTTTAGGCGCATGACGCGGGCTCTCATCATGAGGCCAAATAGCGTATAGGGAATCGATGATATTTGGGCCTATGCCAATTAACGATTTCCTTTTATAAATAAATAAATAAATATATATATATATATAAATGCCAAGTTTTTATTTAAGTGTCAAAATTGTCCCCATAATTTATATTGGATTATTTTGATCTGAAAGTTTATAAAAATATAAAAATAATATTTTTTATCTAAATTTAAGTTAAAATAGTTCACATGAAGACAATCAGAACTTATATTTAAAAAAAATTAAGTACTATTTGAACACTTATACAGACTAAAATAACCACATATATATAATTAAATTTATTTTGGTACTTAACCCTAACTTACCATATAACTTTTAATCTACAATTAAGTTCTTCCTCATGTGGATCAAATCATAACTTCAGGCTTACATACAGTTCTACTCTTTCTAATCCTAGAGTAATTTAATTTCCAGATAGACAGGATCTCCGGCATTGCTGCAAAATACGTAGGCAAGCCAATGAACTCATACCCTCTCCTCTCCCCCACTCTCCCATCCCGCTCATCACTGGACCTCGGCGTCGGCGGATTCGGCCTTCACTCTCCCACAATGGGCGGCGACATGTTTTCCCCCGCCGAGCTACTGAGGTCCGTCGCCGGCCAACCGGAGGTCGACAAGCCGAAAAGCCAATGGTTATCGAACTGGCGGTTGCAGCCATGGAAGAGCTGATCAGGATGGCTCAGCTGGGGGAACCGCTGTGGACTAGCAGTCCTGGTTTGGATGGAGGTAATGAGATTCTGAATGAAGAGGAGTATGTGCAGAATTTTCCGAGAGGGATTGGGCCGAAGCCGTTCGGATTGAAGTCGGAGGCGTCGAGGGAGACGGCCGTGGTGATCATGAGTCATGTTAATTTGGTTGAGATTCTCATGGATGCGGTATGCATGGTGTTATTCTTTCAATTTGTTTATGATGTTTTTTTTTTGGTGCATTTACATTCATATCTCCAAATTCTTATGTATTTGCATATCTAATAGTTAAATGTTTGCTTTTTTACTTTGTGTTGCTTAAATCTTTCATATCATATCAAATCCTTATGTTATCCATTGTATTTGGATCGCCAATTTATTAGTGAAAGGCATGAAGAGTAAGTATTTTGTATAGGGGATCATTAATGTAACATTTTTTTTTTGTCCCGACATGTTATTTAGAGAAAATTTCAGTGATTGTTTAATGTTATGCTTTCAATTTTTTTTTTTTTTGGCGAGATAAAATGTTTCTTTATTGATTGTAGAATCAATGGTCGACAATGTTCTCCGGCATTGTATCAAGGGGTATGACTCTTGAGGTACTATCAACTGGTGTGGCTGGAAACTACAATGGTGCACTGCAAGTGGTATGGTTTGACCTTCTTTTATTATTATTAATTTTTATTATTTATGTTTTTTTTTTGGTTGGGGCTGGGGCATTTATATATATGCCATCTAATTCTTATGTATTTACATATATGACACCTAAAATTTGGTATACATAAGTTTGTTTGGGTAGTAGATATGTAAATATATAAGAATTGAATCTCTAGAAAAAAAAATTTACATCGGATATCTGGACAATGGCCCGGATGCAGCAGAGGAGGGGGAATTGGACCTCCACCCTTCTGCACAAATCTAGCCATTGTTTGTTGATGATCCATTTCTTTTCCACTCAATTACACTGTGCAGCCACTTTAATCTGTTTTGGTTTATTTTTTCTTTTTGTAGATTTTGTCTTGTAATTTGGTTTAGTTTTCAATCTGATAAAAAGTTAAAAAATAAGAAAAAACAAAGTAAAAAAACTAATTTTCAAGCTATTTCAATACAAAATTATTTTTTAACAGCTTTATAAAACAAAATTATTTACATACATACCACTCAATCTCTATGAATTTGCATATATAACCCCTAAATTCTATTTTTTACATGTAGTCATACCCCCTAAATTATTAATATCATCTCAAAATACCATCTTTTTAATTTTAAAAAAGCGAAATAAAACTTTTTCATACATTGGCAAGTTTGTATGTATATAAAACTTCAATTTAATTAGGTGTTAGACATAAAAATACATAGGAATTGAGTTGTATATATATATATATGTAAATCTTTCAAAATAAAATAATAAAAATGATTCGATATTAAAAATTTGACTTTGCTACATTTGCTGATCATGCTAAGCAACTTTCCTTCTTTGCCATCCAATATAATTACATGTTTTTTTTTTGGCTCAGATAAAATCACTGATTTTTTAGTTCTCATTCACTTCATCATAAAATACAAAATCTTCAGAATTCCTTTTTTAATATTTGTAAGACAACATATCTAGATTGCAGTGCATAACATCAACAAAAGCATGATAACCGATTAGCTGAAATTCATATGGGTCAATCTTCAGATGACAGCTGAATTCCAAGTTCCATCTCCTCTCGTTCCAACTCGCGAAAGCTACTTCGTTAGATACTGCAAACAACATCCTGACGGAACTTGGGCGGTGGTCGACGTCTCCTTGGACAGTCTTCGCCCGAGCAGTCTTATGATGAGATGCCGAAGAAGGCCTTCAGGATGTTTGATACAAGAAATGCCAAATGGCTACTCTAAGGTGAGATTATAGCGCTTCAGTTCTTCAAATTAAGACAAGTTTGATCATTTATAATCATAAAAAAGTAAATTTTTTCCTTTTTTTTTTTGTGATTTTTGTTTAGGTGATTTGGGTAGAACATTTTGAAGTTGATGATAGGTCTGTTCATAGTATCTACAAGCCATTGGTGAACTCAGGCATTGCATTTGGGGCCAAAAGGTGGGTTTCTACTTTGGATCGACAGTGCGAACGCCTTGCAAGTGTCATGGCTAGTAGCATTCCATCGGGAGAAATTGGAGGTGAGGAAGTAACAGTATTTTTGCATAAAAAAGTTTATAAAACTTAGATCTTTAGCTATAGATTGAAATTTACTTTTGTCTGTTGATTTGATTTGACAGTGATAACAACATCGGAGGGGAGAAAGAGCATGCTGAAGCTGGCAGAGAGAATGGTGCTTAGCTTTTGTGGAGGGGTGAGTGCTTCAACCACTCATCAATGGACGACGTTATCTGGAAGCGGCGCTGAAGATGTGAGGGTGATGACCAGAAAAAGTGTAGACGATCCGGGCAGGCCCCCTGGTATTGTTCTGAATGCTGCAACTTCATTCTGGCTTCCTGTGTCTCCAAAAAGGGTTTTTGATTTCCTCCGAGATGAGAGTTCTCGTAGCGAGGTATGATAAAATATGTAAAGCCCGGATGAGATTGATGAAAATAGGTACAGATTTGATAGTATTAGATGGTATTAAGACAAATTATCATCAAAATACCACCTAATACTACCTAATACCATCTCAATGGCGATTTCATAACTTCATGATTTCAATGACGACAGTGGGATATCCTCTCGAACGGCGGAGTAGTTCAGGAAATGGCTCATATCGCCAATGGTCGAGATCATGGCAACTGTGTTTCTCTTCTCCGTGTCAATGTGAGTCATTTTAAACTTCCAAAACAAACATGAAAGCTAACACCTTTAGCTGATCATTCAAACTTTCCTGATTTTAGAGCACAAATTCAAACCAAAGCAACATGCTGATACTCCAAGAGAGCTGCACTGATCCAACAGGCTCTTATGTGATATATGCTCCGGTGGATGTGGTTGCCATGAATGTGGTTCTCAATGGCGGAGATCCCGACTATGTGGCTCTCTTGCCTTCAGGTTTCGCCATCCTTCCTGATGGCTCAAATGGGGTTCATGGTGGTGGAAGTGGAATCGGTGAGGTTGGATCTGGTGGTGGTTCTCTGCTTACAGTTGCATTCCAGATATTGGTTGATTCAATACCAACAGCAAAGCTGTCACTTGGTTCTGTTGCGACGGTTAACAGCCTAATTGCTTGCACTGTGGAAAGGATCAAGGCTGCAGTAACGGGGAGAGTCCCCAATGAGCCTAAGGGCTCCTAGAAATCAATGGTGAGCGGTTAATTTTCAGTTTTTGGTGTTTGTTTCTGAATGTTTTACTTTCTAAGGTCCACCGCTGCTTTACTGTTTAAAAGTTTTGGGGGTTTGGTAGAAATCAATGGCTAGTTTAGGGAAGATTTATATACCACACAATTCCAATGAGTATAGAAATCTAATATTTAAATTTTAATTTTTTTTTATTTATGGGACTTGCCTATATATGAATATTTGTATCTCACTTTTTAAATGTTAGTAATGATGTTGTTTATTTGACCTCAGCATTAATTTCATATCTTGAGCACAAACTCCTCTGTTAGCTAACATTAACTCAGGTTAGTCCCCTTAGGTATCTATCACCGTAAGTCCATAAGGTCCCCTTGACAACACGATCTATGGTTGTTAATAATGATCTTCTTGTAAGGTTTGTAGACTGGCTCCTCTAACTATATAGACTATAGATTATGACAATTCAAGAAGACGAAAACTACGAGATCTTGATCAGATTCGTCATCATTCCCCTACCATCCAGTTTATATTCTCAGCGATCAAATTTTATTACTTAAAACAAAAGCTCGTTAGTATTATATGCTAATTCTAATTACTTAGCATCTATAAAGTACCATTAAATTAAAGTGATCTCTTTTATTGGGAGCTGAACATAAATATGGGGTCTTGCACTTTTGAGAAACTTTAAACCCAAAATCATAAATCCTTGTAATAAGAGGGTGAAATCTGTAGGTAATTTTTTAACTCTAATTTAATTTGCATTTAGAAAAATTAACCCTTAACTCAATAAAATTCTCTCTAATCACTCATTTGAGAGATAACAGGGCACAAATTTTTTTAAGTCCATGGCATTTTTTATTTGATATGAAAATTTTGAGTGTTATTAAACTAAAAAATCAAAATTTACTGTTATTTTTTTTTTGTAAGCACATAAGAATTATGTAGTATGCATGCATGTAAATGGCCTTAAGTTTAATTTCTTAGCATTTTAATGCCCTTCGCTAATATGTTTTCTTTCTTGTTATTTCAATAGTATTTATGTATTTTTGTTTCAGGCATAAAAGAGCTAGTTTTTTAATATTTTTAAATAAACATCTCGGTTTCTTAATAAACTCAACATTGAGTGATTATGGAATTACCAGATTTGTATCATTGGCACGCTTATTTTGATTATATGTCGGCTAAATTTGGGAAATTGACCTATACATGGCTTTGCTGAGTGATTGATTTAGGTATGTTTGAACATAAATCCATACTTTCTTGGTTTCAGTGGTTTGCTTGGCTGAACTACAATATCTTAATCATAAGTTTACCAAGGATGGAGTTATTATGGCCTCATAGTTACTTTATGATGTTTCACACCCAATATTTGGGTGTTTTGAGCTATAAAAAATAAGCTAATAAATACATGCGCTTGATTAGATTAATCTTCAGGCGGCATTGCTAGAAAAAAAAAAAAGAAATAAAACCAAGTCATTACTTTGATTTACATGTCTTACCATCACAAGAAAAAAAAAAAAAAACTCACACAAATAAGAAAAAATATTTTTCAAATGGTGAAAGTGATTCATTTCCATTTAATTACATCATCGTTTTCATTTTTATTTCCTTTTCATTTTCTCTTAGTCACTTGAAACAAATACAGTTTTTCTAATTGTCCAAATTAATACTTTTATTTGCTTGATTTCCATGACTTCATCCCTATTATTTAGGAACAAATTCATGAATCTTCATTTTTCATTCACTTTAGCTGAGTATTGCATGAGATGTTAAATTCTTATTTTGTGAACATCTTTTCGCACAATTCCAAATCATTATAATTTTGGTGTACATTTGAACTCTCTAATCCTCTCATGTACATGTCTGTCACTTCCAGCTTAATCGCACCTCCAGTTTAATGTCACATTTTTTTTAATCATGCCACTCAACTTGCTACAAAAGAGTTTAAAAAACTTGTAACACCTAAATCTTTACAGCATCATCGATTTTTCTTTCATAATTTCATAGAGTTTATCTTAAATTTTTATTTGAAATATAAACCAATTGCATAAAGTTAACCTCACCTCTCTATCTCTCTGTAGAATATTGCAAACTTCTCCATTGTTCATCTCTGATGATTCTTTCTTCTGCAGGCATTGAAGAGGACTAAGCTTCAGAGGGAGCAAAGGGATCAATTACTGGACGTCGGAAGTAGTCAAGAACGCACCTCAGACAATCCTTGCCACGTGGCGTGTTTCTGTAGTTCTTAAAATAGAGCTTAAATGTAGAGCACTCCACCATGCAAGGGTGTTGGTTCGGGTATTGACTCCCCCTTTCTATTTGTTATTCCCCTCCCTCTCTCTTTGTACTTCTGCAGACAAGAAGAAAAAAAACTTGTTTTAGCTTCTACTAGTAGCTCTCTTTCTCTCCCTAGGATTCCCTCTCTCTCTCTCTCTCTCTACTAGATTGATCACCAACATATATAAACTTCATCAAATTTGTGCATTATCATCCCATGTTGAAGTATTTTGTGAGGGATTTCATTTGGTAAAATCATTATTTTTTTCTTTTATAAATTTACATACATTTCATTCCAACTCCTATGTATTTACATATCTAACAACGCCTAAACTTCTATTTTTATATACATGCCACTCTGTCTATGCATGAAAAAGGTGCATTTTACATTTTTAAAAAGAGAAATAATCATACTTTTGATGTGATATGAAAGATTTGAGTGGTATAATTAGTGTAAAAAGCAAAGTTTAGGTGTGTTAGATGTGTAATTACATTGGATATTTGGGTGGTTTGTTTGTAAATGCCTCTTCTTTTTTTTTGCATCTTAGCAGCTAATTATAGCTGTATTAGTGGTAGATTTGGTAGATTTGTTTTGGTGGAATCCACTCTCATGAGGGTAATACCTTTGCAGTAGTATGAATTCTTATATATGTTCAAGCATACATGCAAATCTGTTAGCTTATCAGTCTTCGATTGTAATTTTATATTGGTAATTATAGAAAATTAAGTAGTGAGTTAATTGGACAAGCAGTAAAAAAGGAAACTTATTGTTGGTGAAATTGGCATGTTGAGTTAACCTTGGCTTGCTAAGATGAATGACTTTGGTGTTTTGGATTGCGTTCAAGGAAAATAAATAAAGGAACAATCTAACTGTAACAGATGTAACGATTAGAGGCAGAAAATGTGAGTTTTTTTGCAATCTATTGTTTTATTTTTCATTGAAAAGGTGATGCTAAGATCAAATAACAGTGGATAGGTTGCTGAAAAAACGAAAAATCATAGGATTCTGACTCAAGCTTGTGCATTTATATATCTAACAACTAAGTTTAATATTTATATTTGTGTCATAAATTCATGCATGGAAGGGCACACATTTTATTCAATTTTATTCAAAAAGATAATGATCATAATATTTTTGATATGATATTAAAAAATATGATAGTGATAATATTTTTGATGTGATATTAAAGATTAATCTTTGTGCCGTGTAGTTGACTTCCAGTCACAGCGGCGTCCAGAGGCTCTCAGATTGAATCACTGACAAAAATATAGAAGTATTAATATATAAAAAATAATCATAACTCAATTTATTTATAGAAAATAGAGAAAAATTAACAATATAAAAAAAAATTAAAAAATAATATTTGAAAAGGCATTTTCACCATTAAGATGCGCTGGGAATCATCTGGTAATCATTTCAAGTTAATCTCAAGAGCATTAGTTATTACAGACACAGTTTATCTATGTTGAGTTTAAGTTATCACCATTAAGACATCGGATCCTCGCCTGCAAGCCTACTTTCTCCTGTGGATTCAGGCAAGCAACTTAATAGCACTAGTTGTGACTAACTCATGTATCCTTCATGCTATAGACGCTTGATGGGTCATCTTCTATTTAAAAGCTATACTTCTTTTAGCCTTCCTATCTTCTCTCTTATATAGTTTTGCTTCACTTGATACATATCCCATAAGGAATTCGTATATATTTAGAAGTAATCAGCACAATATATTAACACCAATTAAAGTAATCTCAATCCTTCATACTTTTACCTATCTAACCTACTACACACATATCTATCACATGCTTTACCTAACATTTAAATTTTAAACATTCCAAATTTTTAATAATTTTATTTATTAAATTATTCAAAACAAATTCATTTTGAACAAAGAACATCTAGAGATTTCATTTGATGTTTACTATTCATATAACTATGAAAATTATGGTTAAATTAAAGGGGAATTTACATACATAGGACACGATTGTTTTGTATTTACATAACTGACACTCAAATCTGCACATTTACACACATTCATCTCAATTGTACATATCAAAGTTTAGACGTGAGATAGGTAAATATATAAGAACTTCGTGTTATGTACCCAAATTTTCTTAAATTAAATTGTCATTGATATAACGATGCCTTGTCAATAAGACACTTTTTAAACTTTCATCTCAAAAGTGCGTTCCACACTTATATTTTTATCTAAAATGAGGAAAAAAGCATAATTATGCTAATGATAGCTTTGCATGCATTGCATTTTTTTTTATTTATATGTCTAACATATAAAATTAGCTAATTACTCATATGTTACTCAAATATTATGAGCGCAACAAAAATACCAATTGACATGTCACCTCATGTTAGAGATAACAAGAACTCCAGTGAGATGGGGGTGAGTAAGATGCAAAACTCTAGTAAATTAAAGGTGTCATGCTTCAATACATCTGCCTTCTTCTTTGAGTGTGTTGCTCTCCACGTCGACATCTCACCCACTCTGTCATTAATTGGGTCACCCACACTTTCTTTCGATCCCTGATGCTCTCCTCAGCAATGTTTGCATCATCCATAACACCCTTTTTCTATCTCCTACCATATGCGATCAAGAGATTCTTTATCCCGCCTCCTTCAACATAAGAGGTATCCTAAACGACAATATTTCTCTTATCAATGCTAACATTTATAACTTCTCTAACTATATCAACCTCAAGTCTCTCATTTTGTGGTGCACGAGAAATTAATATTATAGATCCATCTAAATGAAAGAAATGTGAGAAATACTGATGTTTATGATTGACATTTTTAAAAAAGTAACTCTTATATTATGTATCTCATGTAAGAAAATGAATTTAAAATGTATAAATAAAAAGAATTAATTATAGAGATAGAAAAATTTAAGCATTATTATTGGGTGTTAGAAAATAGAATAATAATTTAATGTCTAAGTACGTACGAAAATCCACATAACAGATAAAAGAAGTGTTAAAAGAAAATACATAAAAATTTTTATGTAGAAAATTTGGAAAGGAAAAAAATGATGGGTCTGGCCAATGTTTAAATAATTCACTATATTTTTCAATATACATGACTTCACTCATCTCTATCTAGGCAATACGACGATAGTGTTTTTAAAACAGTGTGTTACAAGAACCATTAATGCTGGCTAGCGATAATCCTTGGTGGGTGTCCGCTTCTAACATTTTTCAAAATTGAAGACTTGGCTCTTAGCTACCTCTGTAATGTTTAGAATGATGTCATATTCCTAGAGCTTTGGAAATGTTTTTTAGCAAATCTAGCCAACTCCAAAACTCTTTATTTTCTATTTGCTTTTTAAGTGTCATATTGATCTCAGAGTTGAGTGATTTTGAGCACTTTAAATTTCTCCAATCGAGATGGAGAATTTGACAATAAACATATCCAACTTAGGAATCATTTGATAATTCCTTAAATACTCTAAAACTTTCAATCATATTTCAAGTGCCTGTTCTAAGCTCATGGGGGCTCAGATTGAATTAATTTTAGCATCATTGAGATCATCTCAACGATGCCTTTAATCTAAACAAAAAGTTATTGAAATCAGAGCCCGAATAAACCATTTCTTAAATAATTTTTTTATTTCCAATATGAGGATTCATGCTTAATGGGAAAGGTTTTTGGTGATACATCAATTATATAATAAAATAGGAAAAAAAAAAGTGTTAGGTTTAAAATACGACAGAATAGTTTTCAAATGCATGCCCCCTTATTCCAAAAGGCTGGGTGGTTTATTTACATCATAATTAATTAAATCAATAAAATTAATTTTTATACACGTGGCATAATTTTAAAACAATCAAGTAGCAAACTTTTTACACCAAAGTTAGCGTCCAAAATCGGCGTTAAACAAGTAAAATATAATTCATCTTTGAATCAAACCGTAGCTATTCCAGGAATATACTGAAATTACAGAGATTTTATTTCTCCTTGCAAAAAAAAATCTTCCCCCGGAAAAAAAATCTTCAAATCCTCTCCCTCCTCTTCCGAATTCCTGTCCCCCCTCACAAATTTGGGCTCCGGCAGATCCCGATTCTAGGGTTTTCACATAAAATCCCTGTTCTTCCCCAATTAAAAATTAGTTCTTTTTCCCCCACAACTCATTGTGTCAAGTCTTTTCTGAACTTTCCTCGTTCCGATAGCCCTTCCTGGATTTATAGATCGAATCTCCTTCGAGATTCTACTTATTAAGGATCGTTACCGGGTAACTCTGATTAATTTTACGCCGACATGATCTCCGCCGTGAAGCCGCCTTCGACGACGGCGTTTGTGGTCAATGATACGACACGGACTGGATTGTTATCTCTTCGGAGGAAGATCTCTTTACCACCGCTTCCTGCTCCAACGCGTCCCTTCCTCTTGTGCTCCTCATTGCGCTTGTCGTTGAAGCCTCTGTGTGTCTCTTCTTCGCCGAAGGTTTTGGGATCACGCGATGATGGGTTTCGGTTCAGGTGCAACACTTACGGGGCTGAGAGGTCTGAGAGCGTGCCGGTGCCAGAGGAGGAGCCGCGATCGTCCGCCGCCCAGAAGGTGAAGATCTCGATTTACTTCGCCACCTGGTGGGCGCTTAACGTGGTGTTTAATATCTACAATAAGAAGGTGCTGAACGCGTTCCCGTTCCCTTGGCTGACCTCGACGCTCTCGCTCGCCTGTGGATCTCTTATCATGCTGCTCTCCTGGGCCACTAGGATCGCAGAGGCGCCGAAGACCGATCTTGATTTCTGGAAGACCCTCTTTCCGGTGAGCAAATTTCAGCCTTTTGGACGACATTTGTTTGTCGTTGTTGTTGTTTTTTTTCCTAACGTTTAGATCTCAATTCTCAATGTCCTGAGAAAACTTGGGTTTTGAGACTCTTTCATAGCTAGTGAAATTTTGACTCTCTGATTTTCATTTGCGTTACTGAATTATCGTTTCATTATTTCATGATTTTTTATTTTTTTTATGTTCATAAGAACTTAAAATTTTCTTTTGGTTTATGCGATTTGCTGATTGTTCCGTGGGAACTGTCTTTATTATGATTTTTGGCTGGTTTTGTAATGGAACAGTCTTTATTATAATTTGCATGAGGTTGGGAATCTAATTTTATTGTTTAGTTAGTGATATTTGGGGTTCTCATTTTTCAGGTCGCAGTGGCTCATACAATTGGACATGTTGCAGCAACGGTTAGCATGTCAAAAGTGGCAGTGTCATTTACGCACATAATCAAGAGTGGGGAACCAGCTTTTAGTGTGTTAGTCTCAAGGTTTTTGCTAGGGGAGACATTCCCTGTGGCAGTCTATTGGTCACTTTTGCCGATCATTGGTGGTTGTGCTTTGGCGGCGGTGACGGAGCTTAACTTCAACATGATTGGTAATTGAATGGTTACAAATTGTTGTAGGATAGATTTACTTTTTTATTCCAACTTAATTTTGATTGTAGAGGCTCTATATTGTTGAATTTTGGCGTATCCCATGAGAAATAGCTAATAATCAATAGGTGCATTTAACTTCATACCACCCAATTCTTATGTTTTCACATATCTGAAACATAAAGTTTGTTTTTTTACATTAATACCAGCGAAATATTTCTTATCAAATAAAACATAGCACTATTTTATATTTTAAAAGATGAAATACACCTTTTCATGCATAGGTAAGGTGGTATATATATGTAAAAATTTAATTTTTGGTGTTAGTCATGTAAAAAATATGTAGGAATTGGGTGGCATGTATCTACATTTTTCTAATCAATATTCATAATATTTTATGATGACATTGGCAGACATCTAGTGATCTAACTCAGAGAAGCAATTAATGGTGTGCATTTAGTGATGCCTAAGGATTTTACTATTTGAGTTTTTTTTATTATTGAATTAAAGCGATTGATCTTGTTCTAAATGCAAAGTTAAACCTTCATATAAAATCTCATGCAAATTAACTGTTATAGTAAGTAGTAAATGTTGCGTCATACTATTTGGAACTGGAATCCCTTGAAAACAGGGAGATAATGATCATCCCTTAATGAAGAGTAGAGTTATTCTTTACTGTTAACTAAACAGTTTAGAGTTGGAGATAATGCTAAATGCTGTTAATTTTCATTTTGAAGTATCAATAATTTTCTTAAAAGAAAATTGATAGGAAATTTGTAGTCTTATAGGGCTAAAAATCAATCATCTTATTGTTGTCTAAATCATGTTTGAATTCAATGAATATTGATCCACATGTTGTTTCAAGGGTGAAAACATTGACTAATGGTGTTGTATTTTATTTTGGTGTATCTACAATCCCTTCTATTCTTTAAAAAAAAAAGGAAATTTTATAGGAAATTCGGAGTCAAGTTAATCAGACTCTAGTGCAAGGTTTGCTCGAAAAGGGTCTTTTGTCTAACTTAGTTTCAAGCCAAGCATTTCTTGCAAACTATGTTTCAAGCCAAGAAGTATCCAATTTTGGTTGATTTTGATTTTATGAGGCGAATACGTAGTTCAACATACATACATACATATATACATATACGTATGTATTGATATAGCGAGTACTTTTGAGCATAAATGTTGAAACAATACATGCTAATCTAGAACTACATCTCCATGGATTTATTTGTTTTTTTTTTCTTCCTAAAGTTAAAGCAGCTTGATTAGGTTCTCAAGCAATTCAAACCTTCTTCCCTGACGCACTCACTCAAATTTGTAAATAGAAACTTTAATAGGGACAATTAAGGATTTAAATGAGAAATGCTATGCTGTCCAACATTGGCTCTGCTGAATGGTAAGTTCATTCAAGTTGTTATTTCTTCTCCAGAGAACTATCAAAACCTTACTTCTCCAAATGCTGCTTCCACCGTGTTGGATTGTTATATCAGCAGCCTGATTTCGGCCAATATTTTGCAGCTGTTTTGAATTACCTTGATGGTGCTAATTGATCTTTGTTGTAATTTCAGGATTTATGGGTGCAATGATTTCAAACCTTGCATTCGTATTTCGGAATATTTTCTCCAAGAGGGGAATGAAAGGGAAATCAGTTAGTGGGATGAATTACTATGCTTGCCTCTCTATGATGTCCCTCCTAATACTCACACCTTTTGCCATTGCGGTCGAGGGCCCCCAAATATGGGCTGCTGGTTGGGAGAGTGCCGTTTCGCAGATTGGTCCCCAATTCATATGGTAATTGTGCTATGGTCTATTCTTGATTCTCTGCTCCAATTTGTCCGTCGGTCACATATTTTATGCATAATTTATTAGTATAACTAGTGGTAGATGTTGGTGGTTAGTGTGTGCTTCGAATTTGGGAGAGATCTCTAACAACTCTTGCACAAGTTAAGGACTACCTTTAATACTGTGCATTGGTGAAAATTTTTACTGATAATTTGAACCTATGGTGATTTTTAAAATTTGAAGACAATATTTGTAGCTTCCTTTTTCAGGTTCTTTTAGAAAAAGGAAGATTCACAGACTTACCACTCAATTCCTATATCTAACACTTAAGCTTTTTGCATACATGCCACCTTAGTTACACATGAAAATGTGTGTATTTCATTTTTTGAAAGTTAAATTAGTGGTATTTTTGATGTGCTCTGAAAGATTTGGGCGGCATAAATGTAAAGGGTAAATAAATTCATAGGAATTGGGCGGTATGTATGTAAATGACCCTAAAAAGAAGGATCTTTTTAGTCTGTTGTCTCATTTTATAGTTTTCTTTCTTCACCGAGACATCCTTTTCTATTGCAAATTGTTGGCTACTCTTTTATCTTATTTTCTCCATTTTTTTTTCTTTTTTGGCTACTTCTCCTTGTCCCTTGTCATCGTTTGTTGTTTTCTCTGTTCAATAACTCGTTTGTTTCTCAGCTTATTTTGGGGCACCTAGATAAAAAATATATAACACCTAGATTTTGCTTTATCTTTCATAGTACATAAAAAATACCACCATTTTAACCTTTAAAAAGTGATACATCTTTTCATACATAGCAATGTTGTTATTTATGTAAAATTGAAGTTTAGTTTTTAGATATGTAAATGCATAGTAATTGAGTGGTATGTATGTATATCTTACTTTTTATTTTTGCCAAGCAGTTTAACTGATTGTGTGGCTGTAAAAACCTTGCACATGCAGGTGGGTTGCAGCGCAAAGTGTGTTTTACCATCTGTACAATCAAGTTTCATATATGTCTCTCGACGAAATCTCTCCGCTTACATTTAGCATCGGCAACACGATGAAGAGGATATCGGTCATCGTCTCTTCGATCATAATTTTCCACACCCCGGTCCAACCCATCAATGCACTCGGAGCTGCCATCGCCATCCTTGGAACTTTCCTCTATTCACAGGTAACTTTCGGGGAACTTTGTTTCTTCTGGTAATATCTATTTTACATACTTTCCACCCAATTCTTATGTCTTTACATATCTAAGACCTCTACTTTGCTTTTTTACATTTATACCACCTACATCTGTTATATCACATAAAAAATATCCCAAGTCGTTTTAACTTCTAAAAAGTGAAATACAACTTTTTATGCATAGATAAGGTGACATGTATGTGAAATTGAAGTTTGGAATTTAGTTATGGATGTCACTTAAATCCAGAAGATTTTCCTCCATATTGCTCATTATTTTTTTTAAAGAACTTAATTGTTCTTAATCTTTGCATTGGCACTCAACTGCATTTTGATTTTCCCAGTAAAATCTCAATCTCTTGCAATCTATATCAGGTCTGTTGATTGAAATGTCACTATATATTAGGAAAATTTACATATTTTGCACACATTTCTTATCTATTTACATATCTCACACCTAAACTTTCATATTTACATACATAGCGCATTGGTTCTTTAAACCTAATGCATGAAAATATGTATTTCACTTTTAAAGGGTGGTAATAGTTCCATATCTTATGTTGGTGTTAAAGATGGGAAATTTACATATATACCACAAAATTCTTATGGATTTTGCATATTTAGCCCCTAAGGATTGATATTCACATTTATACATCATTGGTGCCATAAACTTAAACATAAAATGGTGCATTTGACTTTTAAAAAGTTTTTAGAAGTTATATTTTTGATGTGATGTTAAAGATTTGAGGCTTCTGAACCTAAATATTAAAGATTTGAGCGTTATGTGTGTAAATATGAGAGTTCAGGTGTGAGATATGTAAATACATTAAAATTGTGTGCTAAAAATTTTGTAATCACTTACAGTAGCAAATCAAGTATGAATTTTAGAACAAAACCCCAACAATGTAATCTTCTCTTTTGATTTATAACCAGTCAGCTAAACCTAATTGCTGTTACTGCAGGCGAAACAGTAAGGCGGGCTGCTACTCTGCAACGATGTCGAGGCTTTCGGCATGGCTCGTGCAGATCGTCGCCGCACAAGTGGATACGGTTTTTGTCTGCCCAAACAGTTGTCTTTGTTTGTAGATATAAGATAATTATAAGTAAGGGACAGTAGTTGATTATGCAATAATCCCTTTGCTGTTTTGTGGAATTAGGGTTTAGGATATTTGGTCAACTTGGAAGGGACCCTATTGCTTATTAGCTTCATGAGTTTTTCATAAGCGAATGTTTTAAGCAGTTCAGCAATAATTTGGCAGAGTATTTGGTTTATGATATTTGATGGGGTGTATAAACCTTGATACTATATTGGTTGTGATTTTTGGAATTTTGGCATCTTTTTTTTTTCTTTTTTTTTTTTACTTACATTTGTTTTCATTTCTTGTTTGATTCATTGTAGAAATGGCTATTTTTGTTTTGTTTTTTTTTTGTTTATGTTTATTTTAGAATAATTACATATAGAATATCCAAAATATTGATATTTATAAATCAAGCGAATTACATTTTCATGTCGCGGTTAAATCATTGAAAATTTGATAAAAATGAAAAATATGAGCTGGGGTTTTATCATGAATTTTGATATTTGAGTGAGAATTTGAAAAATGTTTGAAAGAGGGGGTGCTTGATTTTCATACATACCAAGCAATATATATATATACATGTGTAATATTCTTTTTGAAATTTGAAATAGTGATATTTTTATTGTGATATGAAAATTTTGGGTGGTGTAAAGCAAAAAGAAAAATTTGGGTGTTGGGTATCTAAATACATAAGAATTAGGTGGTATGCATGTATGTGTGTATTTGTCGCTAGACACCAATATTGCCACTTGAAAATGAGAATTGTGAGATTCTAAGTTATTTTAGTCTAATTAGACCATCTCTCTGTCTCTCTCTGTATGATAGTTTCAGATGCTATTTGAATTTGTTCAGACGTGCGCACATATATAAATTTTCATTATGATTATGATGTCATACTATTAAGAGGACCACAGCGCTGGAAGACCGTCAGCAAAACTAATACCAATCAGAATTACCCAGAAGGCTTATATTACGTGGTTGAACTCAATTTATAAATCTAATGCCTTAAAAGTTGTTTAGATTTATTTTATTATTCTAGCATGTTCATTGGTCAATATGTTAAATATGTGTGCGCGCGCTCGCACGCGCGCCTTAGCTTGACTCATTGATTGCGGTCTTTAGTGTAAGTCCCTTGGTCGAAGGTTCAATCCCCGCATAGGATCGAATTGAACACTTTTCTGAAAAGGGGGTCCGCCCCTCGATCAGACTATCGGGTCGATCAACAATCTACCTTTATATATTTATATAGTATCATAATCATATTAAAAATAAATAAGAAGTTGCATTTCATTTTCAAAAGGTTAATATTTATGATATTTTTTTTGTGATGTGAGAGCTTTGAGTATTACATGAATAAATATTAAAATTTAAATATTAGACATATAAATACAAAAGTATTATCTGTGATGCCTATAAATCCCTGTTTTTTGAATAATGTAAAATTTAAATATCAGATATATAAATACAAAAGTATTATGTGTGATGTATATTAATGCTTATTTTTTAAATAAAATGACATTATTCAAAGACTTAGATTTTTTTTTTGTGTGCGCGGGCAAAACAAACTTGTGCAATTAAGAAAAGGGACATTTACATACATACCACACAATTCTCATGTATTTACATATCTAACACACATACTTAAATTTGTTACCTTTATAACACTAACTCTTACATACACCAAAAAAATACCATTATTACTACCCGCTAAAAGTTGAAAACACATTTGCACGCATAGGTAAAATGGCATTGATGTAAAAATCAAATTTTAGGAGTTAGATATGTAAATACATAAGAATTAGGTGATGTGCAAGTAAATCTTCCTTGAAACAAATGCATAGTTATTTTTATGTGATATGTTAAAATTCAGAAAAATGCATAATAAAAGTGAAATTCTGAATAATTTCATTAATATGAAAGGGGGTATGAGTAACCCTTACATGAATCCTAAAATAGAAAAGTTAATTAAAAAAATAATATGAAAAGAAAAGATATATCATATTAATTATTTGGATATACAAATAAATAACATAAAATAAGAAAGCCTCAAATAGGAAAGAAAATATCTCATAATCCAAGAAAATAAGATAACTCCTTAATCCAAGAAAAAATTATTTTCTAGTATAACTCCTAACATTATATATATTACCGGCAAAAAATAGAATGAACAACTAAAGGGAAACTTCGAAAGGAGCAACACTAGATAAAACCTCGCAATTTGAAGTTTGACGGAAAAGTTAACGACAGGAATAACAAAAACAAAGCAATCACATACATTTGCTTTCTTATTGTCAAGTGAAGGCAGAGGGTTTGGCGAGCAATTAGACTTGTAGGAGTTTCAGAGCAGTTTGAACATCTTTGTCTCCTCTGCCACTACAGTTTATAACCACCTTTGTTCCATCTGGTAGAGTTGGACAGAGCTTTTCCAAATAAGCCAATGCATGTGAGGTTTCCAGGGCTGGAATGATCCCCTCCAGACGAGATAGTCGCTTGAAAGCTGGTCAGAAATGAGCTCAACGAGTAAGGAGTTTATCATATTTAAAGAAAATCATAAGATGAAATTGAGCCGCAACAACCTCTGATGGGAATATGATTCCCCAAAAGTATGAGCGGAGATAAGAAAATAAAAACAAGCATTGATCTATTAAGTCCAAGCAGCTGAAAGCTAACATTAAGATGCTGTGAGGAATTTTGGGAAACAAACTAAGGCTGCATCAGCTGTGGCGCGGTGGAAAATGCTGGTTGGTGGTGTTTGGAAATAACTTTATGGTGGGTTTTCGGCTTATTTGAGTAAAACACGGGCCGTGGGTTCCCAAGTTCATTTGTGTATAATCCCTCAGTTACCCCTCGACTCTTTGAGTTCTCGATTCTGCCCTAGCTCCTTCTCTCCTCCTGATCGCGCTTCGACCTCGTTCTCAGTTCTGCCCTAGCTCCTCCTCTCCCCCTAACTGTGTTCAACGGGTTCCAGTGGCATTTCCCTTCTCCTACCTTCCTAACTTCTCTGTTCCGGTGGCATTCTCCCATTGGTAGCTCTACCATACCCTACACTATTGGCATTGGAATTAGCTTATGGTTTGGAGATTTGCCATTATTGGCTTGCTCCTTGCGATACATCGTTTGGTTTTTTGCGGTTTTTGGTTTTCTAACGTAGCCCTTGCAGCAATCTTGCGATTTCTTGCCCCGTGAGTCATTCTTGGTTTTTGATTTTTCTGTCATAACTCGGTTGGGCTCTCCCCTTTATTTGTTTTTTGGCGCAATTGGATACAAAATAGAAGTAACATTGTTGTTTACAAATCAATTGCCCTATTTCATGGTTTTAGCGCAATTACACAGAGAGCACAAAGAACATTGTTATTTACAAATTGATTCCCACTAGTGACTTTTTGAACTATGAATTTGATGCATTTGATAAAAGATGGTGCTTGATTTATAATTGTCATTGTTTTGGAGTTCTATCATGACCTTTGATATTTGATTGAGAATTTGAAAGATGGATGAAAGAGAGTGCTTGATTTGTAATAGCAATGTTTTGGGGTATCACGACCTTTGATATTTGAGTGAGAATTTGAAAGATGGATGAAAGAAAACGCTTGATTTGTAATAATAATGTTTTGGGTGCCCTGTATGTGATCGTCCCTTCATTTTGTTGGTTCACTTGGAACAACATTGTTGCTCTACTCGTTTGTTGGCCTTTTTGGGGGTTTGTCCTCTTTGTCGGAGAAAGTATGTTGGGGTTGGTGTCACTGGTGGTGTGTATTGATAATGGGGTTGATGCTGTTGGTGGTATGTGCTGATGCTAGGGTTGGTGTTGTTAGTGATATTGTTGGGTTCGAGGTACTGTCGGCGGTGTGCGTAGATGTTGGGGTTGGTGGTGTGTGTTGATAATGGGGTTGGTGGTGTTAGCGGTTTACGTTGATGTTGTGGTTGGTGTTGTTGGTGGTTGGTGTTGTTGATGATAGAATTGGTGTTGTTGGTGGTGTGTGTTGATGATATGGTTGGTGGTGAACTTAGTATTCGTGGTAATGCTGGTGAAGTGTGTTGATGTTGTGGTTTGGGGTTGTTGGTAGTGTTGTTGGTGGTATGGTTGGTGTTGTTGGTAGCATGGGTTGGTGTTGTTGGTAGCGTGTTGTTGATGCTGAAGTTGGTGTTTGTGGTAATGCTAGTGGTGTGTGTTGATGTTGCGGTTGGTGCTCATGGTTTGTAGTGATGTTTCCTTTCAGTTGATTTTTTGAGTTATGGCTTCTTAAATGACACTTTGTTTTTCATCTGCTATGCATTTATGTTGATTGGTTCTTTTTCATGCTAGTATCGTCAAGGTAAATACAAAAGAAATTGGTCATCTGTCATGTGAGATAAAGATGTTAAAATTATCTTTTGAGACCTCTATCTTAAAGAGGTGAGATTTTGCGACCTCTATCGTATTTCAGAACAGTTATTTTGTAGTGTCATTTGATATCAAAACTACGTAGACAGAAGACTCGGGTCCTGCCTTTACTGGCATACAATTACTTTAACTGTGAATATTGAGATGCATTTGATATGACATTAGCTTTTTGTGAGCTACAATCAATTAGAAATTTGTCACTCTCAACAAACGGTTGTGGAGGGTGTATGAGATTTATTTCAAGTCTTTAGTGATTGATTTTTAGGTTGAATATTTTAATTGATTATTTTGAAAGCCTTGATTTAAAAGGTTGACCCATCCGATTGAAATCTTCTATCAACTTAGCCATCATCAGGGAATTAGTTTAAGTTTTTTCAAAATATAATATTGACTCTTATGCTTATAAGGAAGAGAATCAAATTAGGTAATTTAGATTTATAAATTATTATATTTAGGATTTGTATATTTATCAAATTTACTAGACTCTTCAACTCCAGTCCTTGAGCATTCTATACAAACTAGTGGGGCTTACAAACTTGCCCTATAGACAAGGAAGACCGATTAGCCTTTGCAGCATTTTCGAACATAGTATTTGAGCATTCTATACGTTAGTTGGAGTACATGTATGCATTTAAATTTCATATGTTTGAGCTATTTTTGTTAGAACATTTGGCGTCTTAAGGCAACTTATATGATTTTAAAACACGAGTTAAATCAAATTGCTTGCACATAAACTTTCATTTTAAGCATTTTATTGTCGTCTTCTGTTCGCTAGTAGACACGATGCGAATCTGATGGCGGTAAATTTCAAGTTTTAAGAAAACTCAATGTTTGAATTAGGCTTCACCCCTAAAAGCATAAGTTTGAAAAACCTGATTTCAAAATATTTTTAAAGTTTTAATGACTCATACCAATAACATTTTAAAACCCTAAGAGCCTAAATTTAAAAGCCCAAAATTTAAAGTAATTTTATACCTAAAAAAACCTAAATATTTAAAAGCCCGGTTCCCCCAATATTTTAAATCCTAAGAGCTTAAAATTCCGAAAAGCTCGAGTTTATAATTCATTATAAAATATATGTGAGTGATGTTTTATTTTATTTTAAAAGTCCAAAATCCCAAAATTTTTAAAGTGATTATAAGTCCAAATTTACTGAAAATTTTGGCAACCTCCGATGTCGACCCACGTTTGGGGGCATCAAAGGATGCTAATCTTCCTTACTATCTTAAAATACGAGTTGGTCAGTGTTGTGACACTGCGGTCGGGGAGCAAAAGTGTGAACTTAACTCGCGATCTTAAAAGACGCAATGGGCCTTCAATGTACCTGCACAAAAAGGTAGCTCGCAAACTAATATTTTTCGAGTGGTACTTTGTTTTCCCCGAATGTTACTCAATTCCCCATGGACGGGCACTCACTTTCCAACGAGCGAGTATTTTAAAATCCCCATTTTTTAAAAAAGATTTCCAAATGAGTTTACGTTTTTACCCGAACAGTACTTAATTTCCCATGAACAAGTATTTGAGCTTCCTCGAATGAATAATTCTAAAAATTTCCATGCATTTGCCCCAAAATATACCTTTCAAGCCTCCACGTCGTTGATGGCTACGACGAGAATAACACTAAAACAAAAAGTATAACATAATTTTTTCTTCTCCCTCTCTTTTTTTTTTTTTACAATTACACATCAATAAATGAAATAAAAGAAAAAAGTAAATTGAACAATAAAATGGTTGTTTGGTGCTCTGATAGCTCAAATACAAATCACAAAAAGGGGACTTGGTTCAGCTAGAATAAAGGAGGAGATTAGGTGGTGTTGGCTCGGGTAGAGAGCGCACAGGGAGAAGAGCTCGAACGTGCGGGCTAGAGAAAAGGCTGTGGTAGAAGAGGCGTGACAGGCAGGTGTTCGGCGTCTGTCTCACGTGAACAGGTGAGGAGGAAGAAGAAAGATTGGAGTTTCGGGTCTCTGTAGGTCGCATGAGGGAGAAGCAGGGAGGATGGCAGAAAGGATCACGACAGAGTAACGCGAGGCTAGGGAAGAGCGGGCTCGATAGAAGGGGATCTTTGATTACTGTGGTTTTCGAACAGGGAAGAAGAAGGCTTCGGTCTTGTGAACAAGGAGGCATGATGTCGAAGAGGGCCTTCTGCATTTATTTCGCGTGAATAGGTGAGGAGGAAAATGGGGATGGGATTGGCAGGCCCGTATGTGATTCTGGCGTCAATTGTGGAGCGACGATGCAGTTTTCTGTGCGAGACAGAGGAGTTTAGTCGCACGGAGGAATGAACGACTCGGGACTGCTGTTCCAAAAAACAACGACAATAAAGCGAAAAATGGAACAAGAAAAATTGCACGCAGAAAAAAACACCAGAGCGACACACAGATTTACGTGATTCGACAAATTTGTCTATGTCCACGAAGCTGCAAATGATTTATTTCTTCGAGGAATTACACGGTCGAGCGTCTCGACGTTTACAAGAAAATCTCTATTTTCTTCTCTCCTTCTTCTCTCCGAAAATCTCTATTTTCTTCTCTCCTTTCCTCTCTCTCTCTTCCTCTCTTTCTCTTAGCTCTCAAGATGACTTGCTTGGTTTTGCTTGGCTTTTCTTGGTTTTTCTTTTCCTTTAAACCAAAAGAAACTATTTATAGAAACCATGAGAGCGGTAGGTGAGAGGTAGGTGAGCGGTAGATAAGATGTGGTAGGTGAGTGGTAGGTGAGTGTGGTAGGTGAGCGGTAGGTGAGATACTTAATTAAGAAACTAATTAAATTCGGTGAACCGGGTCTCCACATTACCCAACAGATTGTGGAACGACAATGTGGTTTTCTGTGCGGGACAGAGGAGTTTAGTCGCACGGAGGAATGAACGGCTCGGGACTGGTTTTCCACGCGATGATAGGGAGATGTACTGGACGGTGGAAGACTAGGGCAGAGGAGTTCGGTGTCTCTTGTTTGAACAGGTAAGAAATAGTGACTTTGATGTGAGGAAATCAACAGGAAGATGAAGGTGAAGGGAATGCACTAAGCACTCTAAACAAAAAATGAACGAAGAGAAGAATAAATAAAGGGCTTGTTGCTTGTGGTTTTGAACAGGAAGAAAAGACGAAGTAGAAAAGAAA